ATAAATCAGCAATCATCCAATCAATAATCTATAAGAAACGAAATAAAAAGGCAAGCAGTAATCCTCAGCGCACTAAAGCACAAAGGTGTGCAAAACATTCACCATCAATGGCCGGGGAACCAAACACTTTACATAATAAAAAGTTTGCCCCGATCGTCTTTTTTTGAACCAGAACCGTGCATTAGAAGTTATCCAGCTTAAACAATAAGAAACTAAACTAATCGGGCCAAAAAAATAGTGCATGTTCTATTGACTGCTGTGTGAAAAGCTTCTCTTTCGAATCCAGTTTTTGTGCCAAGGTGGTTTGAACGTATCTCTAAAAAAAAACACCGCGCAATCGTGGGTAAGTTTAAATAATTCGACAAAACTCCAAAAATCATGGGGTGAATTTGCAGCTTTTACACCATATAACGTGAAAAGTCCTCTATTGACTGCTACATAAAAAAGTTGTTACTTTGGCTGTTTAAAGGGCATCTAAAGACATGTCTTTTCCATGGTTTGCTGTGTAACGCGTTTTTGTCCAATGTTATAATCCAATTTTTGCAGAACGATTTTTTAACAACAACCCTGATAATTTCAAGTCGACTTAAAAAGTTCGCTAAAATTCCAAAAACGACGTTAGAAATTGTCTACTCTCTGAACATATAGAGTGAAGTGTTTTCTATTGATCCTTGTTTCTCTCTTTAGTGTAGTTTGTAGAAAACGATTTTTTGAAAGGACATCGGATAATTCTCGGTCGATTTAAAAAAATCACCAAAAGTCTACAAACTATGTTACTTGCAACTTGCAATTTTCAGGTCATATAAAGTGAACTGTTTTCTATTGATTCCTCGCTTTCTCCCAGTTTTTGTAAAACAATTTTTTGAACTATTTCTTTAGGTAAAATAGTAGAAAAGTTTAAGTACGACGTTATGAATTTCCAACTTTTAGAGCCTTTTAAAAGAATTATTTCCTATTGGTCGCTGTATAAAACATTTGCCTGTTTCGTATACATTTTGCAAAACGATTTCTGAAAATGGCTCTTAACGCGAAAGAGACCGGGTTATTGTTGATCGATTTCCAAACTTCTGCAAAAGCTCAAAAACAAAGCTATTAATTCGCAACTTTCCGATCGAAAATAGAATGAAATGTTTCCTATTAATATGCTGTATAAAATATTTGCCTCTTTGGTATAGTTTTTGCAAAACCATTTTTTGAAAATTTCTCATGACCTAAAAGAGGCACCGGGAAATCTAATTCGATTTTAAAAATTGATCAACAGTCCAAAAACTGTGTTATACATTTGCAGCTTTCAGAACATATAAAGTTGTAGTATTTTCTGTGAATCACTGGTTAAAATATTTCTCTGTTTGGTCTAGTTTTTTAAAGTGACTTGTAATTTAAAAAAAACAAGATTTTTCCAAGACAATTTCAAAAATTCGCCAAAAGTCCAAAAATGCGTTGGAGAATTGCAACTTTAAAGGCAAATAGAGAGAATTATCTTCTATTAACTGCCGTATAAACAGTTTTTGTCATTGGTTTTTGCCTAACGATTTTTTGAAAGTGTCTGAACATGAAAGAGAAATTGGGTTATTTCAAGTATATTTCTAGAAATTGCCAAAACTCCAAAAACTACGCTATGAGTTTGCAACTTTCATGGCATATAGAGTGCAGTTTCTTCTATTATCGAAAAAGTGTTTATTTTTAGCCCGGCTTTTCAAAGCGATTTTTGTTGGCTTGTTTGGTTTGGTTTGTTTTTTTTTTAGTTTGGCCAAATCGCCTTCTATTGAACCAGAGAATGTCTCAGTATACAGGGTGATTTATGTAGACCGCGCATTAGAAGTTTTCCAACTTACAGTTGTTTTAGAAGCTGTACAATATCTCTTATACATACAGAAACCCCAAGTAAACTCAAAAAATCCCCAAAACTCAAGAAACTACGTTACTAATTTGCAGACTTTGTTGATGCCGTTGATGCACGATAGAGAGTCTCCTATTGACTAGTACATAAACAGTTTTTACTTGTGCTGTTGAGTTTTTACAAAGCTACTTTTAAACTCCTTTAACTCTTAAAAACAGACAGCGGGTGATTCTGGTTCGAGTTAAAAAATTCGCCTAAATTCCAAAAACTACTGTATGAATTTGCAGGTAGTAGGGCATATAAAGAAAAGTCCTTTCCATGGACTGCTGTGTAAAACGTTTTGCCTTTAGTCCAGTTTTTGCATAACGATTTTTTAAAGACAATCCTGATAATTCCAAGTCGACTTCAAAAATTCACTAAAATTTCAAAAACCACGTTATAAATTTTCTACTTTCGGGACATTAACTACAACTAATAATTAACTCAGACATATTAATTGCAGCTCCCATTTATAATTCAAGATGGTTCGCCTTCAAGCGAATGCAGTTTCTATTATACAAGGAAGAGACCGAAGAGACCACGCTAGATTCAGAAATGGTAAATACTAAGTTTAACTTTTTCAACTATTTTCTATTGCTCATTGTGAATGTAGTTGACAGAGATTAAGAAACACTTTGTTTCAGGAACAGCATCATTTTAGAAATTCCGAAATAATCGAAGTGGAAATCCAAGACAATCCAGAGGAGGAGAGTGGCGAGAAACTGATTGTAGCAAAGAGACGCACATTTCGGCCCTCAGTAGCTGCTCCGAAGCCCATTAACGACACTACATTGGACGAGAAGAGTTTCAACAGTTCCCTGAGCGCTCGGCTCGAAGATCCATGTGCAACTTATGGGGCACACGTGGCAAATAAGCTCAGAAGTTACACGCAACAAGTGCGTGTGCAAGTGGAACATGCCATCAACAATATTTTGTTTGAGGCAGACATCGGCAAATTTAATACGAATCCTGCGGGACGTTCGAAAATGTCCCCGACAATGTCCGACATCTTCGATCCGCATGACTATGAATGAGCAACCTTGCCTTCCGCTCAACTGTTAATATCTGTGTAAAATGAAGTTAGATGTAGGTACCTGTTGTAAAAATAATAAAATATCTAATTTGTAGATTTTTATCTTCGCTTATTCTGTTCGTTTATGGTCAACTAACCGTACATTTTTTTCTATTTAGCTTGAAATGGGCTCTGAGTATTGGCAAGAGTAAAACTCTCAAACTTGCACATACTTCCACTCTTTACCCTGTAACTCGGCCAGTTATCAAGATTTTTCAGAAATTCGTTAAAAAGCCCATAAACTTGGCGTAACAAGTTGTTTCAGGGCCAGTTTAAATTTTCAAAGGCTGGCTGTTCCTGAAAGTTCGATTTTTCGTTACAAGTTTGGCTGCGCAACAGGATTTTTTAACCCGAAAATGTATTTTTACAAGCACCTCAATCGTAAAAAAAATGTACAATTCTTTTTTTTTTTTAATCGCAATTGGGCACATTTTTCTCTTAATAGTCGAATTTAGACCAAGATCTGAAGCGCTGGTTGGTCGTGGCAACACGCTCTTTTGCTACAAGGTTGGCGGCGTACCAAAATTGTTTTAACCCTAAAATTCATTTTTAGAAGCCATTAAATGGTTTTTAGAAAAAATTACAATAAATAAAAAAACAAATTTGTTTTTTTTTGAAAATCGCAAATGTGCAAAATTTTCGCTAAAAAGTCGAATTTATACTGACTTCCACTTTCCATTAACATGGTTCCGTATATGGTTTCGGAGTAATAGGAATCTGAATTTAGATCGACTTAAACTGCCACTCACATTGTTTACGCACTTATTTGCCCATAACTCCCCCACTGTTGAAAATATTTGAAAAAAAAATCGCTCAAGGTTTCCACGGGCATTCGCTAGAGTTAAGCTGTCTTGACAAAAATCTACATCGGCAACGGTTTGGGACATGATAAACCTTGAATGTTGGCAAGGGTTCGACTATTCTATTTGCGCGTACCTCCACTCTTTTGCCCATAACTTCGTTAACTGTCGAGATTTTTTTAAAGTTTCAAAAGCCCCAAAAGCCCAAAGAAGTAGCTGTAAAAACTATTTCAGCCTCAAACTGGATAGTGGTCACAGCAAGGGAGTAAAACAAATTCGAACTCAGTGTCCAAACTTTCGAAAAAAAATATTTATTACCGAAAAAAGTTCTCTAATGAAAAGACTCTAATGCCGAATGGTAAAATAACATTTTTAAATTTGTTGAAAAACGTGCGATAAAACCTGTATCTCTTTACCAACTTTTCGCAATATTGACATAATTACTTTCAAAGAGACAAGAATTTCGTCGTCGGTACCATCCGAACAGAAAATCCTGTAAATTTCGAGGTTCGCTAACCCAATATTAGGTCAATTAGGAAAACAACACGATTATCCTCATCACTAATCCTAATCTCCATCTTTATAATTCAATTTTAACCTTCACACAGAAAAAATACACTTTTGAAATCTTTCACAGCAGAAGAGGTAAACTTCACAGGTAATCGAACCCCTTCAACACCCAAGTCGCATTTCATTAAAGGAAACAACAAAATCTATTTGAATTCATCCAATTTATTCCCACCCTGATATTGATATGGATAAACAACTAAGTCGTCTTGGGCAGGCAGCTGATTGGCACGTCTGATGGAAAATAAAAACATTATATAACTTAAATCCTCTGAAATTTTGTAATAGAAAAGTTTAAACCATCTAATTTAGATATTTCAATAAAAAATATTAAATTCTAATGACAAATGAAATTAAACCAAAAATGATCATAATGGTTCAACGTGTTAAATTGTTGTTTTCTACCAATTCTCAAAATATATCCATAAACATAGTTGCTCATTAGTGCGTTCAAAGTAGGGATGGTCGGCATTTAACGTAACCGCTCAAATAACAGTGTTCCAGACGTGTAACCGTAACGGTTACACTTTGCCAATTTAACCACTTGCTTTTGGAACCGTCTCATAAACGCGAAAAAGTCGTTCGCAACAGCACAGAACCGATGCAACACCGTCGAGCCATCGGTCCAGCTGCAGCATCGCCAGGAACCATAATCGGTCAGATCAGCGAAATATTGTTTAGTTTCGGTGATTACATAATTCAGCATTTTTAGTCTATAAGTATTACTGTTAATGTGGATTATTTTATGTTATTATTGACTTAATAACACGCGTAAGTAATTCAAATGCTATTACAAAAACTGTGATGCCCCGTCAATCAGAAGAAGTTCAGTCAAAAGGTAGACAAGAAGATTATTACATTTTTCAAGATTTTGACAAACTTGTTTCATACGAAAACACAGGTATATTAGTACTTTTGTTCCATGCGAGAGATTATTTTACATAGCGGGTGCTATCATAAACGAGCGAAGAAATAGACTTGGTAAAAAGCATACGCACAAATTATTCTTAAATATTACTTCATTTTTAAATGAAAATTAGCTTTTTAAACATTTTCGCATGTAAAACGTATTTTATATTTTATTTAAACCATTCGATTTTTTTATCACTTTTTTCCTTTCAGTAGTTACTTGTGGCCCATGTTTTTGATTTTTGAGTATACTATTGTTAGTTTATCAGTGCTAAAAACTTTTTTTTAATAAAGTAAAGAATTATTTATCATCACTATTTCTACCAGTATCATCACTGCTAATTTTTAATGAAAATTTAAAAAAGTAACATGTTACTTTTGAGCCGCATTTCGGAACCGAACACCAAAGTGAAACTGCAACGTTGTAACCTGTTCCAGGAAAATAACCGTTTAGCGCACCTCTAGTTCAAAGTGCGATATGAATTTTTGCTCCTCAAAAGATGCGAATTTGAAAAGTAGGTGCGTGTAGAACGAAGGATAATAAACCATGGATCGTTTTATAAAAAAATTTCAATATTCCTTTTTGGCCGCCTGGACCATCGGTAGACAAAGCTAGTCATTCTTCATAAATCTCGATTTGTTTGGGAGCAACATTGAATTGAGGTGGTAGAAATAAAAATACTAAAAGTAGGTACGGATGGATATAATGTCAAAGAATTAACCCGAAAAGCAACTCGCCTGGCCATTAGCCATCTGTATTAATCGATTTATTGTAATCATAAAAGGTTCTTGGATTTTCTGACCTCCATCTCTACATTATACCTATGTTTAAACTTTTAAGCATATGGCTACGATTCAAAGAGCCAAGGGATGAAATATGACTCTTGGCATGTATATTCAGAATAGTTTACCCCACTGTTTCCTGTTGATAAATGTGCAAGATAGCAAAATTTTTGGATTTTCCTGCAAATGAACACTTCTCACGATTTCTTTTGAGCGTAATCACGGTTTATTAGCAACAAAAACCCGATAAATTACTGTATTTACGAGTCCAACGAGTTTACTACCAGTTTACCTCATTTGCGGTGTTGTCATGATGAAGGCTTCATTATGTTTTCTTGTAATTACCACCTTAAATTCTCATGCATTTTTTATTTAAAATTTTAACGCTGTTATTTTAGTGACTTCTTTTATATAGAATGTAAACCAGTGTTGCTCCCATCGAAAAAACGTAAACAAATGCATGTGTATAATCTGAGGTCCGAACCAAGAAATTCCTTCGTTGCAAGACACCTTCCTCCAAAGACACGCGTCTTTCTGTGATTTGGAAGTGGGGCCAAAAAGCCTTTGAGGGAAAGGAAAAATGCTTTCAGAAACAGTTGGCAATCGCGGTACAACCAGCTAACCCAAACAAACAACAAGCATTAAACCATTTTTTCTCTCTTGAATCTCACTGAGTCCGGATTCTTACCCTAAGTACTCCGGGTCGAAACCCAATTTCACGTGCCCCTGAAGAACAGCAAACGGTTCTCAAGTGCCATCCCGGGCACTACCGCATAAGCATTGGATTGGGTTTAGTTTAGTTTATTTTAGTTTTGAGTAAATCCTGGTCTAGTTTCTCCGTTTTTATTTTGTTATTTTTTTCAAATATTATTTTAAGATTTATTGCCGAATTTTTATTATACTTTGTGTACGATGTTTGATTTGAAGAGTTTGCAATTTTCTAATTACTTAGACAAATACTAAAAAAACAGTTTCTAGGATCGATTGATTGATTTTCTGGGGTTCTTCTTTTCTCCCGAAGTTGCATCTTTCCAACTGCATTCAACCGGCTACGTGTTCACATGAAACCAAAAGCAAATGTTTGTTTGTTCTATTTCACTTTACATAAATTAAACAATAAATTTTGAAAACAAACCCAAAATGGCAAAAAACTCAATTTTTAACTTATGGCATATTGAATTATTTATTGACGAATTGAGAACGTCTTTGCTAATTTTTATCCAAAAAAGTGAAGTTTTCTGGCCATTTTGAGTCTTTAAAAACGCAGCTACAAAAAGTACAAGCGGCCGTTCTTCAATCAAATGCATTCAAAGAAGACAAAAAATGAAGAAAAATTTTGATTTTTTGCCGCAAGCGTGCAGACTGTTTCGCCCAATTTCAATCGAAAAAAAATTGGAAAAACCAGAAGAAATTACGTGCTTTGAGGAATTGTGCCATTTCTTGATTAGTTTTTATCAAAAAAGGTGCTGAGTTTTCCACTCATGAAGAATCTTTAAAGCATGGAAAAGATCCGTGGCTCTCTTCAATCAAACTACTTTTTAACTGTAAATTGCACTTTTTAAGAACCGAAATTTATTTCCCATTCCATGAGAAACAGTCGTTCAAATGCCTCAGAGAAAAAAGAAAGCAAACCTTAGACTTTGTATACTAAGTTTGCTTAGTTTTTTATCGTTTTTCTTTCTGAAAATAAACAGAACAATTTGATTTTTTAAGTGCTTTGAAAAATTGAGGAATTTCTCCATGACTTTTCATAAGAAAAAGTAACGAGCTTTCCAATCATCTTAAGTCTTCAAATAATGGAAGAACCAACGCGGCTTTCCTCTTTCAAATGCACTGTGGGCATTTCAAAGGCTAAAAACGGCTCAAATATCTCAAAGAAAAAAATAAACGTGCGAATTTTCATACTCGGGCTCAGTTTTTCATCGATTTTCATTATGGATGCACGAAGAAAATCCAAAAGAAATTACTTTTTTAAGTGCTGTGGCAGAGTGAGACA